CTTTACAACACCTGCCAGTCTAGTTAGTGTGTGTAAAAGCGGCAACAAAAATCATGTCCAATCGCGGTACCTTGACGCAGCACAGAGGTCATAGTGTGAGGCTGACAGCTGCTAACAACCTCTGATCCCTATTGCTTTATAAATTATTTTACCTATCACTGTTAATATCTCACCAGGTAAATACGGTTTGACCTTCATTAATGTATTTAGTGTTCCTGATTAATTCCAACGTACATACTAATAATATTCTTTAAACTAATTATTATTACTCTTGTAAACGATATACCAAGATGAGGAATTTCAATGTACGCGTTTATAACTTGTCATGACCTCGTTGGGTAGTTAACTCGGGTTATAATCACTTAACTTATTCAACAAGACCCGACGACTGAGATAGGTGGAGGGTAAATAGACTGGAAGTTTAGTTATAAGTGATGATAACACCATGACGTTTATAACCTTATATATGACCTCTTGTGACCTCACTCAGCACCATCATTGTCTGGCCAAGGGAGGTCAGGTCAACAAGGTTATTGGAGTTTATGATAGCATTATCTTAACCCCCACTCATTAATTCCTAAATTACTTCAAGTTGACTTTATTAACGAGGATCTCTGAGACTACCGCTAATGTTGGCCTTATCTGCCTGACCTAGAGCCTAGTGTGTGAGAGGCAGTGTTGGCTGTGTGTGAGTGTGAGAGGCAGTAGAGGCAGTATGGAGTGTGTGTGTGTGTGTGTGTGTGTGTGTGTGTGTATCTTGTGTGAGAGGCAGCACAGACTATGGGTATCTTATGAGAGGCATCACAAACTACAATCACTCAATATTTCACAATGGTAATAATTTGACTTTTTTTCTTGTCTTTGCAAACTTTTTTTTCAATATTCTTTCTTAGTTTTTCCTCTAATCTGCAACAACTTTTATGGCTCCATTATATTCTGGAATCATAAATCTTCGTCAGCCAGTTCTCGCTCGTAACTCAATTTACTATCAATAACTCTGACCTGGTGTTGACCTCGGCTACAAGTACTGACTGGATGGAGGTATACTTGCTTGCACTTCCACCTGGTACAATAACTGGCGCGTTTTGTGAGTATGTGGCAACTCTGTGGAATATTTATCTAGCATCCTTAAGTCTGACTACTATTTCGCTATTACGAGGTTCCTTAGGCCATCTCACAAAGCTCAACAGCCACTCTACCATGTGTAAGTGCAGGCGTTACGTTGATGAGAGAAATGACCTCTAATGCTTGACCTAAGCTTTAAGGTCAGTAATTATTGTGGTAGCAGTACAAATATGGTGTCAAGTGATACAGGTCACATTGTTTTTGTTTGTTTGTTTTTCCCGTGGAGCTCATGTTTACAAAGGTCAAGAGTCTGTAGGGTGCGTTGTATCAGTTTTACTACCGGGGCAGGTAAGGGCGCGTTGGTTTACTTCTACAAGCAAGGGAAAGGTAGAGTGCGTTGATTAACTCTTACAACCACACCTGATAAGATACATTAATCCATCTTAGCTTTACATAAACACTTTAAAAGAGTTTGTTAACCCATACTTACAACCTAAAAAGAGGAAGAATTATAATGCCTTAACACCTCCTCCCCTTCCACCACCACCCACCCACCCACCCCCTCCACCCACCCACCCACCCACCCACCACCCCCACACCCACACCACACCCACCCACCACCACCACCCACCCACCCACCCACCCCTCCACCCACCACCCACCCCCCCCTCCACACACACACACACAAAATCATGTCAAGGCCAGAGGGGATTGACGTGGTAAGAAAGATAAAGAGGAAGAAGAAATTAACAGGAAACTTAATTTTTGATTCACAGTTTAGAGAGAATTACAACACCTCAAATAATGGTCCACGTGTCTATATACCTGACACCTAACGTTAATTAGTTCAGATACACCTGTGGTATTTTAATCAGCTAAAGCATACATATATATAATGTATTTACACTCTTTGTTTCATTAGATAATGCAGTTTAGAAAATGACTATAAAAACGACAGTCTTTATTTAATGTCGTTTTTAGGAAGTGTGTTTTTTTATATGTATTTTTTGTTCTGTTTTTCAATGAGAATTTAGGTTATAAGAAGGAGGTTAGGGTTAGGTTAGGAAGTTGAGGTTAGGTTGAGTTGAGGTTAGTTAGATGGAGGTTGAGGTTATGTTAAAGGAGCTACATTTAAACTATTTAAAATTGTCAGTAAGATTTCTAGAGTTGACGAGATGAAATATTTTACCTGTGGGGTCGTGAGGGGTCGGGGGTGAGGGGTTGAGGGGTGGAGGGGTTGGGGTGGGGTGAGGGGTCGGGGGGGGTGGAGGGGTTGGGGTGGGTGGAGGGGGTTGGGGGTGGGGTGGGGTGGAGGGGGCTGGGGTGGAGGGGTCGGGGGGGTGGAGGGGTCGGGGGGGTGGAGGGGTTGGGGTGGGGTGAGGGGGTCGGGGTGGGGTGAGGGGTTGGGTGGGGTGGAGGGGGGTTGGGGGTGGGTGGAGGGGGGGTCGGGGGGTGAGGGGTTGGGGGTGGAGGGGTCAGGGGTGGAGGTTGGGTGGTGGGGTGTGGAGGGGCTGGGGGTGGAGGGGGCGGGGTGGGGTGGAGGGGTGGGGTGGGGTGGAGGGGGGTTAGGGAGGGGGGGTGAGGGGGGTTGGGGGGGTGGAGGGGCACAACACTGAGAGGATACATAAATGACCTATCAAACAAGTCAATTCCTCCCGTGTAAAGTATTAATAATTTGTCCAAGTGAAAGTCATTAGTTATGTCGTTAAAAGTTCATGAAGTAAAAATATTAATTTGGTCTCATTTAATATTTTTCTAACTCAACTTTCCTGACTTGACATTTTAATTATATTAGTGACGTAAATCAATAAAGGAATGTTCAAATAATTACTTTATCGGGTAATTATAATGACTGTGTTTAACTTACGATACAATTAATGTAAGCAGGTGTACTATCTAGTGATTGTGAGTCATTAACATTTTTATCACCTGAAAATTGCACCTTGGTTATTTCCTTTAAGGGTCACCTGAAGATTAGCACCCTCCCCCAGTTTATTTCACCTGAAGAAAATCCACATTAACAGTAACTTTAATCTCACCTAACAAAACCTAACCTAACGCTAACCTAACCTAACCTAACCTAACCTAACCTAACGCTAACCTAACCTAACCTAACCTAACGCTAACAAAACTTAACCTAACCTACAGGTGACCCTCGTAAACTTAAAACAAATATAACAGGTTTTAATCTTCGTGATTTAAATATAATAAATATCCAGAAAATAACCCCACTAATTACTAATACTCTAAATGACCTTAATTTTTATCTCCAAATTACAATTACTATTTTATGGTGTGTGCCCTTTAATTATAGGTAGGTGTTTGACCCGTTAATTATAGGTAGTAGTTTGGACCTTTAATTATAGCTAGCCCCTGTTAATTATAGGTAGGTGTTTGACCCTTTAATTACAGGTAGGTGTTTGACCCTTTAATGATTTGTTAGTATTAAACGTGAATTCTCAAGCCTTATAATTATTGCTAATATATAAGGCTCTGTTGAAGATGGTTATTATACTCGGTAACATCTGAAGGGGGTTAGTGCAGCTCTGTTGATTCATGTTTGTCTGTAATTATTTATTTATTATTTGTTTATTTGTTTTGCTTCCTGTCTACTTTCTTTCTATTGTTAATTATTTTCCTCTTCTTTTCTCTTTAATTCTCCTTCTCCCACCATACCTTCTTTTCTTCTTCCTCCTCTTCCTTTCATTTCTCCCCCTCCTCCCTCACCCCTTCCACCAGCTGTTACGTCATTATCATAGTTAAGAGGAGTATAGCTCTTTATCTCCGACCCAGGTGCTGGCTGTTCCCCCACCACTCTCGACCTGGGGTGATGGGAAGGGTGGGATGGGAGAAAGGGGAGAGGGAGTAGAAGAAGGAAGGGGTTAAGAGACGAGAGTAGAGGAAGGGGTTAAAAGACGAGAGAAGAGGAAGAGGAGGAGAAAGAAAGAGATGGGAGAAACAAGAAAGGGGAATCAGAGGGGAAAGAGAAGAAAGGAGAACGGAGAAGAGAATGGGAAGAGAAACAAAACAGGAAACGTAAATAAAGGATAAGAAATGGGTGAAAGGAGAGGAGAATAACGGCTAGAGAGAGAGAGAGAGAGAGAGGAGGAGGGAGGAAGGGGAAACAGATAGGGAAGGAAAGAGAGAAATAGGGTAAGTAAAGACAAAGCTAACGAAGGAAAGAAAGGGAGAGAAGGTAATAAAAAGGAGAGAGACGAGGAGACAAAGGAGACAGAGAGACAAAGAGAGGTGGAGGCGTTAGTCTGGCAGGGTTGAGAACATGACAGGTGTTGAATATCTTACTACCGTGTGTCTTGTATCTCGTATTGTTTGGTTAGGTTAGGCTAACGTTATGTTGGTTATGTTAGGATATTTAACCGAACATAACACTAACCTAACCTAACCGACAATATAACTTAACCTAACTTGAAATAGTCTACCCTAACCTAACTTGAAATAGTCTACCCTAACCTAACTTGAAATAGTCTAACCTAACCTAACTTGAAATAGTCTAACCTAACCTAACTTGAAATAGTCTAACCTAACCAAACCAAACCAAACACTAACCCAACCTAACCGACAATATAACTAACCTAACTTGAAATAGTAACCTAACCTAACTGAAATAGTCACCAACCACTGAAATAGTCACCCTAACCTACTTGAAATAGTCTACCCTAACCTAACTTGAAATAGTCTAACCTAACCTAACTTGAAATAGTCTACCCTAACCAACTTAAATAGCCAACCAACCTAACCAAACCAAACGCTAACCACAACTCAACCCCCCCCCACCCCCTCACAAAGGTAGCATTAAGGTGTTTTATCATCAGGTGAATTAAACTGTTGAAGGTTGTGTGGGGGGGGGGGGCTATTCTTCAGGTGATCCATTACCTGTTGCATATCTTAACATCTTTTACCTGTTGTCCTTACAGATGGAGAAACCAGCAGTGACTCGGCGACGGTGACAGAAGCTGCAGGTATGTGTGTAATTAACAGTACCTGGATAAGATGATTAGTAGGTCAGGTCAGGTTATGTTTTGGTTAGGTTTTGGTTAGGTCAGGTGAGGTTAGGTAAGGTTACAAGATTGGGTGGATGGATGGATTGATGGATGGATAAATAGATAGATGGGTGGATAGATGGATGAATAAATGGATAGATAAATAGATAGATAGAAAGATAGATGAATAGATAGATAGATAGATAATCTTATATAACTTACCTGCATGATAACCATATGCAGATTTACATATATGAAATCCTTATATAGATAATCCTTATATAAATAATAACCTTGAGTACAGTGTTATATCATCACTCTTGAATGATCTTGTGAGTTATTAAACAGTACATGTGACGTACTCTTGATGTTCCTGAAGTAAAGATAACTTATATTGATGAGTCAGTGATTTTTGGTGATTACTATTACTACTAATACTTTTTATGGCCTCCAGCCTCCGCCAATAGTCACACCTTCGCCCCAATTACTACTACTACTACTACTATTATTTACTACTACTACTACTAATATCAGAGGTCCTCCGCCATCATACAGTACAAGCGTGTGACGTGATGAATGGTGTCCGTTCCTCTCTAACTCGCAATAAATCTGTCTTAACCCGTCACATTCATCTGTCTTCCTCAACATGATTTTCCTCACACACCATCTTCCTCTCACACCATCTTCCTCACACACCATCTTCCTCACACACCATCTTCCTCACACACCATCTTCCTCACACACCATCTTCCTCACACACCATCTTCCTCACACACCCCCATCTTCTCACACACCATCTTCTCCACCATCTTCCTCACACACCATCTTCCTCACACACCATCTTCCTCCCACACACACCATCTTCTCACACACCATCTTCCTCCACACACCATCTTCCTGCACACCATCTTCCTCACACACCATCTTCTCCCTCCATCTTCCTCCACACCCATCTTCCTCACCATCTTCTCTTCCTCACTCTTCTCCACACCATCTTCTCACACCACCACACCACCATCTTCCTCACACCATCTTCCTCACACACCATCTCCCCTCACACACCACATCTTCCTCACACTTATCTTCCTCACACACCATCTTCCTCCACACACCATCTTCCTCACACCATCTTCCTCACACCATCTTTACTCACCATCTTCCTCACACACCATCTTCCTCACACACCATCTTCCTCACACACCATCTTCCTCACACACCATCTTCCTCACACACCATCTTCCTCACTTTTTCCCCTCACACCATCTTCTCCACACACCATCTTCCTCACACCATCTTCCTCACACACCATCTTCCTCACTTCATCTTCCTCACACACCATCTTCACACACACATCTTCCTCACACCATCTTCTCACACCATCTTCCTCACACACCATCTTCCTCACACACCATCTTACTCACATCTTCCTCACACACCATCTTCCTCACACCATCTTCCTCACACACCATCTTCCTCTCACACCATCTTCCTCACACCATCTTCCTCACACACCATCTTCCTCACACACACCATCTTCCTCACACATCTTCCTCACACACCATCTTCCTCCACACACCATCTTCCTCACCATCTACTCATCTTCCTCACACACCATCTTCCTCACACACCATCTTCCCCACACACCATCTTCCTCACACCATCTTCCTCACACACCATCTTCCTCACACACCATCTTCCTCACACACCATCTCTCCTCACACACCATCTTCCTCCACACACCATCTTCCCCCACACACACCATCTTCCCTCACACACCATCTTCCCCACACACCATCTTCCCCACACACCATCTTCCCCCCACACACCATCTCTCTTCCTCACACACCATCTTCCCCACACACCATCTTCCTCACACACCATCTTCCCCACACACCATCTTCCTCACACACCATCTCCCTCTCACACACATCTTCCCCACACACCATCTTCCTCACACACCATCTTCCCACACACCATCTTCCTCCTCACACACCATCTTCTCCTCACACACCATCTTCCCCACACACCATCTTCCCCACACACCATCTCTCCCCACACACCATCTTCTCCTCACACACCATCTTCCTCACACACCATCTTCCTCACACACCATCTTCCTCACACACCATCTTCCTCACACACCTTGGACCAGTTCTGTGTGATGTGTCCTTGTGATGAGTTTGTTAATGTTTCATCTGAAGCTTCTGTAAGTCTGTGTTTTGCAAGTACGTATCTCTCTACCTCTCTATCTCTCCTACTTTGTCTCTTTTGTCTCGTTTGTAAGTGTTTCTCTCTCTCTTGCTAGTATCTCAGTCTCTTGCTGGTATCTCTCCTTTCTCTTGTTAGTATCTCTCGAAATATCTCTGCGTGGAGGAATATGTTGCGGCGGCGGACAATAATATCCGGACGATGTTTATGCAAGAGAAGTGGGAGAGAGGAGAAATAAAAGAGAGAAAGAGGAAGAAGACAGAAGAGGAAGGAGAGAGAGAGAGAGAGAGAGAGAGAGAGAGAGAGAGAGAAATAAGAAAAGATGGAGAAAAGAGAAGGAAAGAGAAATAGATGAAAAGCAGCAATGCGACACTGACCAGGGGGTAAGGAGGTGGTCACATGGAGGAGAGGGGGGTAGGGAGGTGGTCACATGAGAGGGGAGGTAGAGAGGTGGTCACTGTAGGCCAAGGTGTGTGCCAGCCTGACATCACTTTCATCTTACCTGATGACTGTTTCTCCTCTCCTTCCTCCCTCTCTTTCCTCCTCCTATTATTCCCTCCTCCCTCTCTTTTCCATCCTCCTTCCTCCCTCCTCCTTTCTCTCCCTCCTCCCTCCCTTCTGGTTAGGTTAGGTTTGCTAGTTACTTTGTATTAGCTTTGGTTATGAAAGGTTAGGTTTCAATAAGGAAAGGTCAGCCTGTCAGTTACAGTTAGGGTTTTCTTTTATTTTGGCCCTGTGACCATTTTCTCCACGTATAACCATAAAAATTATGCCTCAAAAATTTAAACTTTTCCTATTTGTGCAATGGTCTGTGTTTGGGGGGGTGAGAGGTAGGAGGGGGATAGGGGTTGGGCGAGGGAGGGGTAGAGAGTAATGGTAATATATCTTTACTGTCGCACTTTTAACACTTTTAGTGCTGGATATTCTCTGAACTTCCCCCTGTACAGATATTCCCTTCCACACAAGGATATTTTCCCTCCAGACCAGGATATTCCCCTCAGGTAATAGTTCTGCCCACACACACACACACACACACACACACACACACACACTACAAAGAGGTATTGTGTTCCCCTGAAAGTGAGTCTCGCTCAGGTACATGATTGAAAGGGTTAAGTTTGACATGATATTATTATTATTATTATTATTATTATTATTATTATTATTATTATTATTATTATTATTATTATTATTATTATTGGTGTTGTTATTATTATTATCATCATCATCATCATCATCATCATCATCATCTTGAGTATTGCTAATTATCAGTGGTCAAGTTAGTGATGGTAATAGTTATACTGTAAATACAATAAAGAGTGTTGAAGCACAACGGATGATAAAGTTAATGAAGAAGAAGACAATAAGACAATAGAAGACGCTAACTCATGCAGGTGAAAGGAAGGAAGGAAGGAAGGGAGGAAGAAAGGAAAGATAAAAATGGTAGAAACAGAAAAATAATGAAAATATATTGAGGAGAGCGAGTGTATGCATGTATAAACTGTGTGAGTGAGAGAGAATTTAAAAATGGGTATTATTATGAAGGAAAATAAACAAGGCGATAATAAAGAATGGGAGAAAGAGAGAGAGAGAGAGAGGGGGGGGGAAGAGAGACAGAGAGAGACCAATGAAACTAAGAAAATGCAGATAAGAAAATAAAGTTGAACCAACGACATGGAAGAGAAAGAACAGGAAGGGAGAAATGTTGCTGACTCTACCATTGTGTATAACAAGAGGGTCCTGCCAGTGAGAGAGAAGGGTCCGGCCAGTGAGAGAGAGAGGTCCGGCCAGTGAGAGAGAAGGGTCCGGCCAGTGAGAGAGAAGGGTCCGGCCAGTGAGAGAGAAGGGTCCGCCAGTGAAAGAGAAGGGTCCGGCCAGTGAGAGAGAGGGACCCGGCCAGTGAGAGAGAAGGTCCGCCAGTGAGAGAGAGAGAGGGACCCGGCCAGTGAGAGAGGAGGACCCGGCCAGTGAGAGAGAAGGGTCCCAGCAGTGAGAGAGAGGGGACCCGGCCAGTGAGAGAGAAGGGTCCGGCCAGTGAGAGAGAAGGGTCCGCCAGTGAGAGAGAAGGGTCCGGCCAGGAGAGAGGAAGGGTCCGGCTAGTGAGAGAGAAGGGTCCGCCAGTGAGAGAGAGAGAGGGACCCGGCCAGAGAGAGAAGGGTCCACAGAGAGAGAGGGGTCCGGCCAGTGAGAAGAGAGGGACCGGCCAGTGAGAGAGGAAGGGTCCGCCAGTGAGAGAGAGGGACCCGCCAGTGAGAGAGAGAGAGGGACCCACAGAGAGAGGTCCGGCCAGTGGAGAGAGAAGGCCGGCCAGTGAGAGAGAGAGAGGGACCCGGCCAGTGAGAGAGAGGGCCCGGCCAGTGAGAGAGGAGGAGGACCCGGCCAGTGAGAGAGAGGAGAGGGACCCCACAGGAGAGAGAGGGACCCGGCTAGTGAGAGAGAGAGGGACCCAGCCAGGTGGAGAGAGAGAGAGAGGGACCCGGCCAGTGAGAGGAGAGGACCCGGCCAGTGAGAGAGAAAGGGCCCGGCTAGTGAGAGAGAAGGGTCCGCCAGTGAGAGAGAAGGGTCCGGCCAGTGAGAGAGAGGGGCCCGGCCAGTGAGAGAGAAGGGTCCGGCCAGTGAGAGAAGGGTCCGGCCAGGAGAGAGAAGGTCCGGCCAGGAAGGACCGGCCAGTGAGAGAGAGAGGGACCCGGCCAGTGAGAGAGGGACCCGGCCAGTGAGAGAGAGGGACTGCCAGTGAAGAGAGAGAGAGAGAGAGAGGACCGCCAGTGAGA